ACAGTGTACCATCTTCTGATGGCTACTTCCAGCAGGATAGCACTCCCTGTTATAAAGCGTGAATCATCTCAGTCTGGTTTCCTGAACACAACAACGAGCTCACTGTACTCAAATGGCTCCAATGCAAAAAAAAAGGCTCTCAGTCCAATAGAGCACCTTTGGGATGTGGTGGAACAGGACATTCACATCATGAATGTACAGCTGACAAATCTACAGCAACTGTGTGATGTTATCATGTCAATATGGACCAGACTCTCTGAGAAATGTTTCCAGAACCTTGTTGAATCTATGCCACGAAGGATTAAGGCAGTTCTGAAAGCAAAAGGGGGTCCAACTCAATAATAGCAAGGTGTACCTAATAAAGTGGCTGATGAGTGTAAATATCTGCTTTATCAAGGTTTAAATAATTAAAAGTGAATTACAGGGCACTGTGTGGTGAATTTCAAACCAGCCATTGGAAAGGCATCACCAGTGTATTTTTGGTGCTGGTCCCAAGCCCAGATGTTTTATTAGGAAGAGCATTCAGTGAGAAAACCTGTGTCAAACAGTGGCGTCATTAGGTCTATTTTAGGGGGGCTGGCGCCCTCGGTGGCTCTCCTAGGCAATTAAATTATTCATACAAAGAAATATTTGATTTAATGATTCGTATTTCCCCTACACATTCAGCAGGTTGCAAGCTCATTTGACTTTAGGGAACACCACACACGTTGTGATAATGGGCCAAAAAAATCAAGCATGTTGAATATCCTCGATTTTTGAGGTTGGAGCGGTCCTAACTGACAAAATCGGGCCAGAATTCAGCACAATTATCCTGCCGTGTGAGGCAGCCCTAAAGTAAATGAAGTTGTTGGTGTGACCTTAGAGTAGAGAGACTTGTGATTAGAGCTGACTTCAATGGCCATGTTGGTGAAGGAAACAAAGTAGGAAGGATTTTATCAAAAAGATGAAGAGTGGAAAGGCAGTTGGTAGATATGACAGGACCAAGAGATGGGGTGGGATTTTTTGTACAAGTTGTTCAACACAATCCTGAAGAGTGAGAGGATTCCTGATGAGTGGAGGTGTTCTGCTACCAATGTTCAAAAACAAGAATGATGTTGATATACAGAACTGCAGAAACTACAGAGTTATAAAGTTGATCAGCCACAGAATGATCAACTTTCAGTTAAGAGAACAATAAATCAAATAAGAAGAAGATTCTTCTATCTATTATCTGATTAAGAAGAAGAGAATGTCTCTTTGACAAGTTAAGGCGACCGGAGGTGGCCTAAATTCAGTTCTAAGTGGAACAGAGTTTTTGTCCCTTAAAGGCCCATCAGAGGTCTGAGGTCCAAGACAGTTTCCTTGATTATTTCACTCAAGGTGACCCCTACATGGCTAAAAACTGCCAAGTTATGGTCAATTTTACATTTTAGCCATGGTGGCATTTTTGGAGTTTTAATTTGGATTCTGAATATGATGGAGAGCATTCTCAGCTACCACCTTAGTTTAAAACTCTGGAATGAAAGATAGTGAACCAGCTAGGCTTTGATCTTTGAGAAATTTAGCTTTCCAAAAACAAAAGAAATCTAAAGTAGCCAACGCTTCAGTCTTTGGGTTTTCTACAGCAGAGATCTCCAATCATGATCCTCGTGACCCACTATTCTGCATGTTTTAGATGTTTCACTGCTTCAACACACCTGACTGAAAGGAATGAGTCAGGTTTCTGCTAAACTTGATGACATTCTGAGTAGGCAATTCAGATGTGCTGAAGCAGGGTAACAACAGCATGCAGGATAGTGGGTCATAAGGACCAGTGTTGGGGACCTTTGTTCAACATGACAGTCAGGGTGAGTGTCTCCTGATGAGTGATCCAACAGCTCTTACCTGTGAGGAGGGTCTGCCGCTTACAGGGTTGAAGGGATTGGTTAGTGCACCAGAGCTTATGAAGGCATCAGAGTAGGTGGAGAATCCGTGACGGTTTGAGGAGAGACTGTAGGCAGAATTGCTGTCAGGACTCGGGTGGATTGTAGATGGAGGTAGTGGTTGTGGACGATGAACTGCGCCCCCGTTCTCTAAAGAGGATATAAAACCAGTAGAATACATACATACATATTAACAACAAACGTTATACTAAAACCATCAAAAATGACCTTGTGTATAAGCAGTGCCTCCACATGGTGGACAGAAAGGTGCAACAATGACAATCAAAACTGTTTGTTCACATGCAAAGGAGGACCATCAGCCTCAGGATTTTTGGGTTGAACCACAAGGCTAGTAACTCTCAYGCATTGAACGTGAGACTCACACATCTGGGGGGTCTTCACACGCTCTCACGCCACACTCCCAATTTCTCACGCTAAGAACTGACAAACAAGAACAACTCAACTCCGGTCCACTTCTTATTATAAAAATACAGTACATGTATTGATATAAATCCAGCCCACGCTTTCATGTCAACCCATGATGCTACACACAAGGACATGCCAGTTTATTATCCAGTCCGTATTTTCTCACCAACCATCCCCTCTACCTGTAAACAGCTGCTCTGTGGAGCGGGAGAAACTGCAGAAGGATCAACCTGATGGGCTCCCCCTCCCAAATTAAAAAAAGAGAAAGAAAAGAGGTGAGCCGCAAAATCAGCAAATAAGTTAAAAAGAAAGGAAGAAAGGAGAATGAGACTGATTAAGCAGAGAAACTATGAGGGGAAAAGTAAAAAGTTTGTGTAAGATGCAACCAAATGAGTTAAATAAACATATATTTTCTGTGATAAAGGGGCCGAGGTCAGGCTGAAGCCAGGCCAGAGACTCAGCAGCACAGGTTTTGTCTACATCCATCATCTCAGACTTGGGTTATACAGTATGTGTTTGTGTTTCTGAATGTGTTCAGGGCTCACATAACATTAAACACAGCAAATCAGAAACTTTACCATACCTGCAAACATCTTTAATCTGCTTAAATACAAATTAAAATCAATCCACACTGACTGACC